GGTAATTTGCCTGTTTTCAAGGTTTCAATCTGCGTTACTACTTCATAACCTGCACAATTTTGTCCCATGCGTACAATATGTTTCCGTTTTTTAGTGGCATGTCTGTCAAATCTGTTCTTGGTTTATACATTTTCTCTGATTCAGCTAAGCAATCATGAGGTTCTCCGTCCTCAGGAGTTGGTAGTAGTGTAGCAGGATTAAGTGTTGTACATCTCTCTATTTCTATATGTGGCTGTGATAACAGAGTAGCCATGCAATGTAAATATCTTGCTGGTGAAAGGAAATACATTTTTGTTTGTAATATGAGTGCCGCTACTGCGTGAGGCACTTTTAGTGTAGTTTTGTGATACAAAACTACATCTGCTGCTGCATGTACTGCTTGTGCCAGCGGTCTTTGTTTGGATCCATGCTTCTGTGTCAGCACAGAAGTCATAAATCCATTTTTACAGTCCACCATCTGGGTGAACGGTTTAGAATAGTCAATACAGAAGTATCAGTTAACGCTTGTTTTATCTTTACCAAAGCTTCTTCTGCTTGTGCATTCCAAATTAGTTTATCATTCATTGCTTTAGGAGTTCCATGCACTAAATCTTGCAGTGGTTGAACTTTTTGTGAATACCCTGGGACCCACAGTCTGCAATAATTACAAAGTCCTAAAAAGGACATCATCTGCTTTTTAGTTTGTGGTTTGTGTGCACTTTTGATTGTTTGTTCCACTTTGCCACATTGCTCCGCAAAACCATACTATGATCCCCTTCTTTTTGTTTCTTTTGTTTCTTTTTAGTAGGGTAAAGTGGTTCCTGATTGTCAAACTGATTTGTGTTTTCTTTGGGTAAATTTGGATACAACTGACTAGTTTGTGGAGGCTGTGAATCTAGATATGGGGGTGGATTTATTACTGGGACCCCTCCTACAGCCTGTTGTTGTTATTTGATTCTGCTCCATCTGTAACTGCACTTCTGCTGCAGGCTGAGTGTGTCGCACAGGAACATAATCGTCATATTTTTGCCAATTCAGTGCTTCTTCAATTTTTTTTGTTAGCACCTTCTAGTCTTTTCTTTGCTTGTTCCAACCACTTTTTTGCCATTACTTTTTCATCACTTTCCTCCTTCCTTCCCTTTACTCTCACCTTTAGAGTTAATCCATCCATCCATCCATCCATTTTCATCCGCTTATCCGTTACCGGGCAGCAGTCGCCACCCAACTCACATTGCACCGTACCTAAACCTTCCTGCGGGTGGTGAGTCCACTGGAAGGTACCAACCGCCCTAACCGGGATTCGAAATTGTCCAGGGGGTGAATCCTGGGGTTCCACACCAATGACAGAGACATCTGGGCCAAAAGCGCCACCCTTTAGAGTTAATTTGAAGACTATCTTCACGTGATTTTAGTTGTAATCTTCCTTCAAACTCATACTTCTTTTTCCATTTAGTTAAATATTTTGCCGACCCTGGATGATATCTATCCATGAATTTACCATCCCCTTCTAATTCTTCCTCTTTCTTCCCCCCACAGTAATAACTACAACAATTTCCCATTGTCTATATGAACTATGAACAAGAACAAGTATAGGAAGAATGCCTCTATTGGGCTTCAGTGGGTTCCACCGTGACAAGCTTCTACGGCCAGTATAGAACTGGACGCGGTCACAGTCTGGGAGTATACCTCAGAACCACAAAGAATTTTAGACTTCCACTTAGTTACTCTCCAATCACTCTCACATTCATTGAGATCCGGCTCTGGGACAAACCTGGACAGAGGCTGGATGAATCTGTGTCTTGTCTTGGTGAGGAAGTGTTTGGGTGCAGTCGGTGGGATGAAGCCCAGGTCTCCAGGCCTGTGACGGGCTAGTTCAAATCAGACACTTAAAGACGAACCAGGAATTGTTTTTCTGTGAGGACAGAAGAGAGACAACAGGAGGGACAAGATCAGTCTAGAACAATGTCAGTTCTTACTATTGGGTCCAGACTGACCTGGTCCAGTCAGGTTCCTCGCAACATTTGGCCAATTTTGATTTTAGAGTGCCATTTTCTCGTTTGACAGCCCCTCCACTAGCACGGTGGTATGTGCAATGTTGCCTGAGATCAATGGCGAGGAGTTTAGCGATTTGGGTTATTGCAGAATTGACAAGTGTGAGCCATTATCGCTGCTCAGTTTGATTGGTATTCCCTATCTGGTAATGATTTCTGTTAGCAGGGCTTTTGCTACCACTTGACTGCTTTGACATTTAGCTGGACATGCTTCTACCCATTTGGACCACATATCAACCATCACCAGGCAATATTTCTTCCCTTCTGCTGGTGATAGTTTTATAAAATCCATCATCAAATGTTCAAATGGTCTGTCTGGTGGTGGGTGAGCTGCATTTGTGATTGTTTTTGTTTTTCCTGCGTTTTGTGTTGCACAGACCATACATGATTGACAGAACTTCTGTGTATGAGCTGAAAAGCTTTTGGTGAACCAGTGTTGAGTTATGGCAGCCAACATTCCCCCTTTTGACACATGGTCCAATCCATGTGTCAATTTTGCGACATGATGAAAGAAGGGTTTTGGTAGGCATGGTTTGTCATCAGGTCCTCGCCAAACATCGTCAGTCTGTGTGGCACCACAGCGTCTCCACAATGTCTTTTCTTGGTGTGTGGCAAAGGACTGCATTGCTGTAAGGGAGCTGGGGATAAAAACTGGATTTGAAACCAACAAAAAAAAAAATCAGAGACGATAGGTTGGAGTGCAGCTCTTTTTGCAGCTGCATCAGCTCTTGCATTTCCTAGGGAGAGTTGTTAGTATGAGCAAGACATTCGCAAACAGCAATTGAGAGTGGGAGCAGGATGGCATCTAAAAGATCTGTAACTTTGTCATGGTGGGAGGTAGTTTGTAAAGCAAGTTTTAGATCAGTGAAAGACTGTTCAGCTTCCGGGGTCCATATGATCCTGTCTTGCGAGTGTAGATCCTTGCTATGAACGAGGGAAGCGAGTGGAGCTTCAAGAATGGCATAGTTTGGGATGAATTGTCTGCAATAAGAACACACGCCAAGAAATGACATCATGTGTTTCTTTGTGATGGGTTTTGGAAGATTTTATATCGCATCTACCCTTTTGGGTGAAAGAGTTTTCCCTTCTGAAGTGATGACGTCCCAAAAAAAACAACCTTTTCCTGGACAAATTGGAGTTTCATCCAACAACAGAGCAGTGCCCAGAGAGAGAATTAGAGATTCCAGGCTTTGTCTGAGAGCGTTGTTGTAAATGGTAGGGCTTTCACAGTAACCCGGACACAGACGAGTGACTGTGTAGCCTCATCCATTGAAGTTAAAGGCAAACCAGACTTGACTTTCTGGATGGACTAGAACGCTAAAGAAAGCATTTGAACGGTCGACCACAGAAAACAACTTTGCTTCAGGTGGAACCTGAGACAGGATAGTGTAAGGGTTTGGAACATTTGGGGCTCTTGGTTGGACAGCTACATTTACTGCCTGTAGATCCTGGACAAAACACCATTCTGTTGGTTGGTTTTTATCCCTGATTTTCTTGACAGGGAACAATGGCGTGCGCACTGGAGAGTCGTCGCAGGGAATAATTACTCATGCTGCTTTAAGAGATTCGAAGACTGGCGTTGTGCCATCGATGGCTTCTTGTTTATGTGGATATTGAGCCTTGCAAGATATGAAATCAGATTTCAGAGTGATGACAACAGGTTCATCTTTGATGAGGCCAACATCACACTTACTGACAGCCCACAGTGACTTAGGGATGTCCTGTAGGGCCGTGATTGCTGTAGTTTGGTCATTGGACAAAAAGGAAAAAGATGTAGAAGTGCTTTTAGGTACCAGCTGGATTGTTCTTTGAGTGTGCACACCAGATTTTAAGCTTTTTGAATAACACTGCAGTGTTAGTGAAAAGAAAATAGATCGATCAGATGTCGGCTGCATGCTGACATGATTTCACAAATAGGCCCAAATCTTCCCATTTATCTATTGTGTGTTTTGCAAGTGAGATGTATTGGACTGAATTGTCCATATTGTACATGTTATCTTGGGCTGGTGAGAGAGAGACTGATATGGCGCATTTATGATGTGTCCAGTAGATTTTTGTCAGTGTGAGTGTGTCAAATCTGTTCTTTAACCAAACTTCTTCATATGGTTCATCATGTTCCAGTGACACGTGAGAAGTGCAATGCAGATCCTCTGGTGTCATGAAATCTGTTCCATCTGTTAAAACTGATTACTAGCTTCTGTGACCAGGTCAAAAGCAATTTCTGATGGTTGTAGTTTCCATTGATATGCATACGCCAGGTCTGGGGTGTAGTGGACAAAGGAGTGTGATAAGCATGGGTTCAGGTCAGATAGTTTGTGAACTTTGTCACAGTCTGGGGTTGAAATCAGACAAAGGCCTAATTTGCACATCAAGTCCCTGCCCATCAGGTTAATGGGGCAGACTTTAGAGAGCAAGAATGCATGTTTGAAGCTTGTATTCAACCTTCTTCTTCTTCTTCTTCTTTTTCTTTCGGCTTTGTCCCTTTTTTTTCAGGGGTTGCCACAGAAGATCATTGATTTCCATCTCTCCCTGTTCTCTGTATCTTCTACTCTGACTCCAACTATCTGCATGTCCTCCCTCACTGCATCCATATATCTCCTCTTTGGCCTTCCTCTCTTTCTCCTACCTGGTAGCTCCATCTCTAACATTCTTCTACCAATGTATCCACTGTCCCTCCTCTGCACATGTCCAAACCATCTCAATCTGGCTTCTCTAGCTTTTTCTCCAAACCTTCCTGTCTGTGTTGTCCCTCTAATGACCTCATTCCTGACCCTGTCCATTCTTGTCACTCCTAAAGAGAATCTTAGCATCTTTAACTCTGCCACCTCCAGCTCCTCCTCCTGTCTTCTGCCTATTGCTACTGTCTCTAAACCATACATCATGGCTGGTCTCACCACTGTCCTGTAAACCTTTCCCTTCACCTTAGCTGACACTCTTCTGCCACCGATCACTCCTGACACTTTTCTCCAGCTGTTCCATCCTGCCTGTACTCTATTCTTCACCTCTCTTCCACAGTCTCCGCTGCTCTGAACAGTTGATCCTAAGTACCTAAACTCCTGCACCTTCACCACCTCTGCTCCTTGTAGCCTCACTATTTCACTGTTCTGCCTTTCGTTTACACACATGTACTCTGTCTTGCTGCGACTGACCTTCATTCCTCTTCTTTCTAGTGCAAACCTCCACCTCTCTAGGTTCTCTTCTAGCTGCTGCCTACTCTCACTACAGATCACAATGTCATCTGCAAACATCATAGTCCATGGGGACTCCTGTCTGACCTCATCTGTCAATCTGTCCATCACCACAGCAAACAAGAAGGGGCTCAGGGCCGATCCTTGATGTAGTCCCACCTCCACTTTGAAGTCTTCTGTCCTCCCAACAGCGCACCTCACTACTGTTGTACTATTCTCATACATGTCCTGCACCAAACTAACATACTTCTCTGCCACTCCTGACTTCCTCATACAAAACCACAATTCCTCCCTTGGCACTTTGTCATATGCCTTTTCTAGATCTACAAATACACAATGCAGCTCCTTCTGACCTTCCCTGTACTTCTCCATCAACATCCTCAAGGCAAATATTGCATCTGTGGTACTCTTCCTAGGCATGAAACCATACTGTTGTTCACAAATCTCCACTTCCTGCCTCAACCTAGCTTCAACTACTCGTTCCCAAATCTTCATTGTATGGCTCATCAACTTTATCCCTCTGTAGTTGTTACAACTCTGTGCATCACCCTTCTTATGAATTGGCACCAGAACACTTTTTCTCCACTCATCAGGCATCTTGCCAGTCTCTAAAATTCTGTTAAACAAACCAGTCAGGAAATTTACTGCCACTTCTCCTAAACACTTCCATACTTCCACTGGTATGTCATCAGGACCAACTGACTTTCCACTCTTCATCCTCTTCAGGGCTTTTCTAACTTCATCCTTTCTAACCTGATCTACCTTCTTCCTACTAGTCTCTGGCTCCTCGTTTCTACTTTCCCTTTCATTTTCCTCATTTAACAACTCCTCAAAGTATTCCTTCCATCTTCTCAGCACACTTTCCTCACTTGTGATCACATTCCCCTCTCTGTCCTTAATCAACCTCACCTGCTGCACATCCTTCCCAGCTTGATTTCTCTGTCTCGCCAATCTATACAACTCCTTTTCTCCTTCCTTTGTTTCCAAACTCTCATACAACTCCTCATATGCCTTTTGTTTGGCCTTGGCCACTTCCCTCTTCACCTCCCTTGTCCTCTCTTTGTACTCCAGTCTGTTCTCTTCTGTTCTGTCACTGTCCCATCTCTTCTTCGCTAATCTCTTTCTCTGCACACTCTCCTGGATCTCCTCATTCCACCACCAGGTCTCTTTGTCCTCCTTTCTCTGCCCAGAGGACATACCTAGCACCTTCCTACCTGTCTCCCTCATCACTGCAGCTGTAGTCTCCCAATCATCTGGGAATATCTCAACACTACCCAGAACTGCCCTTACTTCCTTCCTGAAGTCTTCACAACATGTCTCTTTCCTTAGTTTCCACCACTTGATCTTCTGCTCTGTCTTCACTCTCTTCCTTTTTGTCACCTCCATCGTCATTTTACACACTACCATCCGATGTTGTTTGGCTACACTCTCACCTGCCACCACCTTACAGTCTCTAATCTCCCTCAGATTACATCTTCTACATAGAATATAATCTATCTGTGTGGACCTGCCTCCACTCTTGTAAGTCACCCTATGTTCCTCTTTCTTTTGGAAATATGTGTTTACCACAGCCATTTCCATTCTCTTTGCAAAATCTACCACTGCCTGTCCTTCTACGTTTCTCTCCCTAACACCAAACCTGCCTATCACTTCCTCATCTCCTCTGTTCCCTTCCCCTACATGACCATTTAGGTCTGCTCCAATCACCACTCTCTCTCTCCTGGGGATACTCTCTACCATCCAATCTAGCTCCTTCCAGAACTTCTCCTTTTCTTCCAACTCACAGCCCACCTGTGGGGCATAACCACTAACAACATTAATCATCTCTCCTTCTACTTCTACCTTCACACACATCAACCTGTCTGACTCTCTTTTCACCTCTACCACATTTCTTACATATTCTTCCTTTAGGATCACCCCTACTCCATTTCTCTTCCCATCTGAACCATGATAAAACAGTTTGTAGCCTCCTCCAATGTTTCTAGCCTTACTGCCCTTCCACCTGGTCTCCTGCACACACAAAATATCTACTCTTCTTCTCTCCATCACATCAGCTATTTCTCTACTTTTCCCTGTCATTGTACCTACATTCAAAGTTCCAAACTTCAGAATAACACTTCTATTCTTAATCTTTTCTGTTTTTCTCCTAACCAAACGCCCTCCTCTTCTTCTCTGTCTCTGACCAACAGTAGTCCAATTTCCATCAGTGCCCTGTTGGTCAACGGCACTGTTGGCGGTCGTTGTTAACCCGGGCCTCGACCGATCCGGTATGGAAATCGTTTTATTGATCTGCATATTTGATTTAGCTAAATGTTTTACACCGGATGCCCTTCCTGACTCAACCCTCACCATTTATCCGGGCTTGGGACCGGCTTCGTGTACCCTAGTGGCTGGCTTGTATTCGACCCATCTGCACATTTGAATGGGATGGTAATGTTTTCTCTAATTGTTTGACCTGATGAACCAATAGAGTATACATAATCCCCACTTAATTTTGCTTTTTCAGAGAATTCGTAGGCTTTTTTCACAGAACGTGTTGCTCCTGAGTCAACCAAGAATACAACATTTTGGTCTGAAATTGACATGTATGCTGAGGAAATCTTTTGTAATGATCAGATATGTACTGAACAAATGTTAGAGTAGTTGCGTAACTATTGTTTTCAATAGGTGGTTCATTAGTTTGCACAGCATGTACGTGTGGGTATGGTGCACTGATTGGTTTGCTTGGTTTGATGAGTTGTACCTGTGACAGTTGTGTTTCCAATGTTCTTGTTGACCACAGAGGAAAAAGGAGTCATGTGGTATGTGGCGTTTTCTTATGCCAGTGGTTATGGCGCCTGTATCCTCTCTCTTTCTGTTTATAATGTGGTTGTTGTTGTTCTCGGACTATGTTGCACATGGTTATTGCTGCCATGTGAAGCTCTTTCTGTGTTGTCTCTTCATTTTTCTTTTTGTTATGGGTTAGTTGGTTATGAGCATGTATGGCATGTCTGCGAAGTTCGGACAGGCACGCATCATTCCAACCAATGCATGATATTTTAACAGCTGAAGCAATATCTGGTTTGAGTCCACTCCAAACAGAGATGAATTTCCCATATATCTGGAGAATCGTTTGATCCACCTGGTGGTTGAAGGCCGCTGTCGGTGTTGAATATATATGTTAGACGAGTGAGATATTCGTCCGGGCCTTCTCCATCTTTTTGTTTGCAAGCAGAGATTTTTTCCATGTTAATTTTTACAGGGAAGGCTTCAGTGAATGCATGACAGAGATGGTGGACAGCCTCTCTATAACGCACATTGGATTCATCTTCCCAGGTGACGTGTTCACAACGGATGTCAGCATTTGGGAATTTCCCTGCTATTTTCTGCCAGTGTGGTGGTTTGGCCCAATGTCTCTGTCATTGGTGTGGAACCCCAGCATTCACCTCTTGGGCAAGATAGAATCCCGGTTAGGGCGGTTGGCGCCTTCCAGTGGACTCACCACCCACAGGGAGGGTCAGGGGGGATGCACGGTGCAGTGTGATCTGGGTGGCGGTCATGGAGACTACTGCCCCTGCAACCCGGTAACGAATAAGCGGATGAAAATGGATCGATGGTTGGATTTCTGCCAGGCTGTGGGTGTCATCTTGGTGATCAAGGGTCTTTTTAGTTCGTTCATGGTGGGTTTAAATTCTTGACAGAATGTGGAAAATTGCTCAGCAAACTTTTTACTTGATGTTGTGGGGTTGGGTAGATGTTGTGAGGCTGTTGTGATGTCAGCAGCGGTCCATGGTCGGAAAATGAGAGCTGCGCCTTCAGGTCCAGATACTTCCACTATGGGCATGTTAAAAATCGCATTTTGGTTGGGATGATGCAGTCTGTGTGCAATTGGAGAGGAGGGGGTGGTCGTAGGGTTTTGTGATGGAATAGGCCCTTCAGGATGAACTTTTTCTGAACTTTTTCCTTAGTTTTTCTTCTAACATTGATATGTTTTTTAAACTGAGGGATCCCCCTATTGGCCATCCAAACTCAGTTGCCCAGGCATTTAATTATTTCAGACCTTTATCCCCATATTTCCTTCTCATAACATCCACAATCGGCCCTACCGGAGGTCCAACCTCATCGGAAACCTTGCTCCCCATATTCAGTGTGGAGGCCGTGCATGACTATACAATACAGACGTCTCTGTAAGGAACCCTTCATTTAAGCTACAAAGTGATAAAAAACGAATCGCTCCGATTTAATGTCGAGTGTCTAAGTGATCTAAAAAGCATACCACATTCGTTTGTGCTACAAGTGGTAACAAAAGCAAACCCATGGATTAGATTGTGGCTAATATGAGAAATGGAAATATTATGTCAAATTAAAAACTTTTTTAAAGAAGCAATTTTGATACGTCAATATTTCAGTGCTCACCAGATGAACTTCGTTGAACCGCATTCGTGGAATCCCAGCGGCAACGATCCGGAGCGTCCTCAATCAGTCCCTCCCTTTTCAGAAAAGTTTTTCAAAGTTGGAGGCTGGAAACCCTTTGTTGTTCCAGGATGGTCCGTTGCTGACCGCGCTCTGTCCCGGACGATTCCCGAGGGATCCCACTTCTGACACCAAATTGTTGTGGAAATTCTGCTACTCCTGGTGAAGAATGAAATAGAGACTTCTGCTGGCGGACAAGGTGTTTTATTTTTGTTGCAAGGAAAAGGTCTATCGTCATTCAAGTGGCTCGAGTGAAGAAGTACTCCAAGTATGGGGAATCCTGAACAATTACACACGTGGACAAAATTGTTGGTACCCCTCAGTTAAAGAAGGGAAAACCCACAATTCTCACTGAAATCACTTGAAACTTACAAAAGTAACAATAAATAAAAATTTATTGAAAATTAAATAATCAAAATTAGCCATTACTTTTGAATTGTTGATTAACATAATTATTTAAAAAAACAAACTAATGAAACAGGCCTGGACAAAAATGATGGTACCTCTATAAAAGATTGAAAACTATTTGACCAGAGTGACATGATTAACTCAGGTGTGTCCTTCAATTGACATCACAGGTGTTTCCAAACTCATAATCAGTCAGTCTGCCTATTTAAAGGTAGACAAGTAGTCACTCTGCTGTTTGGTGAAAAGGTGTGTACCACACTGAACATGGACAACAGAAAGCGAAGGAGAGAATTGTCCCAGGACATACGAAAAAAAATTATAGACAAACATCTTAAAGGTAAAGGCTATAAGACCATCTCTAAACAGCTTGAAGTTCCTGTGACAACAGTGCCTCATATTATTCAGAAGTTCAAGACCCATGGGACAGTAGCCAACCTCCCTGGACGTGGCCGCAAGAGGAAAATTGATGACAAATTGAAGAGACGGATCGTTCGAATTGTATCCAAAGAGCCCAGAACAACCTCCAAAGAAATTAAAGGTGAACTCCAAGGCCAAGGTACATCAGTGTCAGATCGCACCATTCGTCGTTGTTTGAGCCAAAGTGGACTTCATGGGAGACGACCAAGGAGGACACCACTGCTGAAAAAAAATCATAAAAAAGCGAGACGGGAATTTGCAAAAATGCATGT